AAAATACTTTGTCATCTAAAGTATAAGTATGTTTATTTTACAAATTTATTTTTTAATCCATTTTCAAATGATTTAAAATTTCTTAAATATTAATTAAAATAAATACAATTATATCGGCTTTATATCGGCCACCCTGCTTTTCAAGATATCGGCATCAGCTGTCAAAAAAACAATATCGGTCGACCACTACTACATACTTGTACCTTTTGAATAGTTACCGCTTTTGCACCTGTTTTTCCTGAGTATTACTATTTTTTATATTTTAATTACTATTTTGAATACTTTTTACTGTTTTAATATATATATATACACATACATTTTTAGTAAGGGTCAATTAAAATATTTGCACAATATATTATATTATTAAAAAAAGAGGAAAAAATAAACAACCCCTAAAGTAAAATAACTAAATGTCTGAGATGTGTACTTTCAGCTTTGCAGCACATGCTTTAGCACAGCTCCAAATTTACTGAGAGACGCAGCCAAGTATAACAAAGATCAGGTGGGTCAATCCCACAAGTTGAAGTGTGATCAAGCTCCTGAGACTGGACAAGCTTGTTTTTTTTGACAGTTGTAAGATCTCACTCTTTAAAGCTGAATGCAATCACATGATTTATTCATTAATTTTTTTACTAGATAGCAACATGGGGGATCAGAGGATGTGTGGTCATTTTCACACAGCACTGGGAGTGTTTGGGTATTGTTGTGTGAAAAACAGGCAGGGAGAAGCTGGGGCAAGTATTCAGAAATATAGTCACTGAACAGAACACAGTGTTTCCTGCACTGCTATTCAGCAGAGACACTGCGAAGATGCTGAATCTACAGCACCACTGCAAAAGAAATCTTTTTTTTTTTTTTTTTTTTTCTGAGTTGGGAGATTATCTGAGCTGAATGTGATGAGATAAAAGAGTGGGTACCACAAAATAATAAAAAGATAATAAACAGACAACATGCCTTTCTTTATGCAGCGTCCCGAAAAAAAAAATCGAAGATTAATAAATCAGTCAAAAAGACTGTTTGAAGGCAGTTTGAAACAAATCAAAGTTACTGAATTAAATTTAAATTACTCACTGACTAAGTTTGTGAGAGAGTGTAGTTAAAGATACATATTCATAGTTTTGTTGAAATAAATGGCACACTACGTCAAAAAAACAAAAAACAAACAAGTGGTCGACCGATATATCGCCACGGCCGATATATCAGCCGATATTTGGCATTTTTCAAATATCGGCATTGGCCGATAAGTTTTTCTGTTTGGCCAATGCGTTTGTGGCGGGAATTTTATTTTGACGGCGCTGAGAATGGCAGCGCCCTAACACAACACACAGTGCTCACATTCTCTCTCTTGTTCGCTGTCGTCCTTAACCTTTTGGAGTCGACAAACGCGGATACGCGTTTTGTGGCATTTTCTCCTGATAAAGCCGAAAAGAACTTAAATTACACTTTCAGTTTTGATCGTACAGATAAGAGCAATACATCAATCGAATCTGTAAAGGGTCTACTTTTATTTTTATACACTCATAATAACAACAAAACGCTGTGCTTTTGTAAAGAAAATAAACAGGGTGTATTCTCTGCCATCTCTGTCTCTGTCACCTCTCTTCACAGACACATAAATAAAACAACCCGAATCTCAGCGAATACTTGCCTCAAAGACAAGAGAAATATATGTATAGAAAGCTTGAAATGTCTACTTTTAAATTAACCAATTCAAGTCGAAAACAAATAATTTATTTTTATGTAATCCGTATGAAAGTAAGGAGTGGTCCGGTTTCTCCCGTATCGCCTCATTATAGCTAATGTGATCCCGCCCCGCTCTGAGCGCGCTGTTCATATGGAAATGAACTGAGGCGAGCCAGGTAATCATGTACACGCCCCCGAGAAATGGCATAAAACGTCAAGCTTCATCATAGAATTACTTACTTTTTCTGCGCGTTTGCATGATGGCACGCTACACGGGTGAAGAAGCACTTCGGATGGTTCTGGACAGCGACGAAGAGTTGACTTTCTCCTCAGAGGAAGAACGCGACTCGGATGACGAACGTTTGCATTTTGAAGAACTTGAAGAACGAGCGGAGGATATAATTCCTGACGAGTAAGCCTTTTATTATTACCTTCATGATTTAAAATGTTTAAAATGTATAGCCTATTTTATATCT